CAAAGACTAAGGTCAGAGAAACTGCGAGTGGACAGAGCTTCAGAAATAGTGAGAATGTGTTCAGTAATGCCAAATAATTATAGTTTGGGGAACTAGGAGAATGGGAATAAAGGTGTTGAATTAGATTGAAGTTAGTAAGTTGGGGCTGGAAGGAGTGAAGAGGAAGAGTTGAGTACATAATAAGCATTTGTTTTTTTTCTTTGGGTGTAAGAGCCCTAGAACTCTTTTACAATGAAAGTTGCATTGAGTTTGAGTTTAATGGGTAACTCAAGCACTGTACAGTGCCACTCAGCTTTTCAAATTAAATGAGTACTTCGTGTTATCAACACTAAGATTCTAGGTTTTAATTTTTTTAATTTCTGGATTTCTTTAAAGATGATGGGGCTTAATATTAGAAAGGAAGCAATACATTCCAGGTTGTTAGAAAGTTAGTTGCTAAGATGAGAAATTAGACTGCTAAATCCACCTAGCTAGCGTTAACCACCCTTGTCCTCCCTGTTAACCAGCCACATTGTCTGTTACTTGACACTCTATGAAGTTAGCAGATTGGAATTAGAAAAGTCAGTCTCCTCTTTGGTGCACATGTTTTCTCTCCTTCTGTCTCTGAAAAAACATACGCCGAATGGAAGCCGCAGTCCCATAAGGTTAGTATTGGTTCTCAGCTAAAATCCAGACTAGTTTATTTAGCTACTGATTATACTTTTTCTAGGTTAAGATGGCCTTGTGTATTTTTTCTGATAAGATTTCCAGACTGATGGAATAAAGAACTTGATATATTCAGCTAACATTTATCACTTACAGCTTGCCTCAAGGAAGGTGGAAAGTGAACCCAGAATACCCTGTTTTAAAGCTTCCTTGGGTCCACAATTTTGAGTAGAGCTTGCCTGATAAGAATGAAGCTGTTCTGGACAGAGAGAAGCAGGTACCAGAGTGCAGGGCAGAAAAGAGGAGGCTTGTTTAAGGAAAGGCTTTGTGGTCTGGCAGGCAGGTGGTTGCAGGAAGTGCAGGAACAAAAGCTGGTCTGGATGGGGCCAGCCCCTTTAGCCAGTGTTTCACAAGGTCAGTGGATGGGACCGGCTGACCAATTTCATTTGTGAGGTGAAAAAGAGAGAAGAGTCTAAAATGGCCAAGATGTTCTAACTTGGAATCCAGAGAGGATGAAGACTTTCTCTTTGGGGTCATCAGAACAAGAGGGACTAGGAATAAGCAAGAGGGTGTGATTGGCTGCATGAGGATACCGTTCGGACATGTTGTTTTTGAGGCTTTGGACACAACAGGGGCAGTGTCTAAAAGACAATTGGATGCTCTAGTTTGAACACAGGAGGGAGGCAGGGGCCGGGTGGACAATTCATGTAGATAGTAAATCTAAGGATTAGAATGAGTGAGCTTAGCAAGAACATGTAAAAAAAGAGGCAAGGGCTGAACTTACAAGAAGTTTCAGAGATTAACAAAGGCAGAAAGGGAATGAATGAAGGTGAAGAAAAGGAGTCATGATTTTAAGAGAGAACCTGGAGACAGTGATGTTCTGGACCCCAAGGGAGGCTAGTGCTTCTGGAGGGGACAAGGAAGAGAGAGGGAAGGAGCAGGGAGGAGAGTCATCCTGGTGTCCCCCTCAAATGGAATTAGGGGAAAGTGATAGAAGATAGACCTAGCTCATAGGAGGTGCTTACGCAACAACTGCTGAAGGGAGGAGACCGGCTGGGTGCGGTGGCTCACGCCTACAATCCCAGCACTTCGGGAGGCTGAGGCGGGCAGATCACGAGGTGAGGAGTTCGAGACCAGCCCGACCAACATGGTGAAACCCCATCTCTATTAAAAATACAAAAATTAGCCAGGTGTGGTGGTATGGGCCTGTAATCCCAGCTATTTCGAAGACTGAGGCAGGAGAATCGCTTGAACCCAGGAGGCAGAGATTGCAGGGAGCTGAGATCTTACCACTGCACTCCAGCCTGGGTGACAGAGTAAGACTCCTTCTCAAAAAAAAAAGAAAGAGGGAGCGGCGGTGGCTCCGGCCAGTTGTCCTGGCTTTGAGGAGGCGAGGCTATGAGTTCAAGGACAACCTGAGCAACATAAGAAACTCTCATTCATTAACAACAACAACAACAAAAAAAAAAAAAAAAGAAAGAAAAGGAAAAGAAGAGAAGAAACCAAGAAAGGAACAATTCCTTTATGTAGGCCCTCAACAAACTCGCTGCCGTGGCCCAGAGCACAGTGGAATGTCTATGGCTGTGCTAGCCTCTTTTGTGGGTGACTGGTCACTGGGGAGCTTCTCTTGCACAAGGACAGGACTCAGACAGTCCCCACTGTGACTTCAGCCGGTCAACATGTTCCAGAGATGTGTTAGTTCTGAACTTTTAGCTCAGACTTAGTAATTGGTATTGATGCATTTTTCAATTAAGACTGAAAGGAGTTAGACTTGGAATTTAGTCAGTGGGCTCCAAATTAAACTTGGGAACATGATCCTTGTGAAAAATCACTTTAACTTATCAGTAGTTGGCAAACATTATACAGCAGTGGTTTTTCTGGCTGTGCCTTTGGCTGCATACTAACTGAACAGCAAGCTGTGTCCCCTGATTGAATGAAAAAAAATAATGATTTTGTGTTATAGGGAACTTTTTACAATATGCCAGAGGGACCTACTGGAGTCTCTTTAATCTTGAACAATGCTTGTTTCTTGCAGAGGCAAATTATGCAAATCAGTACCTAGTGTTCCATAATCAATCAGGTCTTTGTTGGAAGTGTTGCAAGCGCCAGCAGAACAGAATTTCTATCATCCTGGGAAGGGTGAGGGGGTTGCAAGTCAAACCACTGCTGTGATCAGCAAAGGACACTCGTCGACTGCTTTGAACTCTCCCCACGGTCAGAAGGCAGTCGTTCTTTGAGAAGAATCCCACCATTTTGTACCAGGGCTTTTGTTTTACAGTGTATCGTGCTTTGGGCAATTCACAAAACACCCACGAAGGAACAGCTAGCAAGGCTGTTCTGTGGTGACACATAGAAACAAAGCTGGGCCTGCCGCCTGAGATGGCAGCTGGCAGCCACGCTCCGGGAGCTCCGTTTGTGTGGAATCTGCCTAGAATGCGGTATTTCAGAACACTCCTGGACTCGAGTCCTCCACGATGCACGTGTATGTTTAAAAACAAGCTCAGTGCAGCTTCAGCCTGCGCAGAATGGTGAACCTTTATTAATCCTTTGATTCCAGATCAAAAGAAAGAATCAGAGAAATGTTTAAAGTCCTTGGGAAAGATTGTGATATTTTTGAGAGAGGTCCCGTTATTACTGCTGCTCTGATACTTGTGTTGCCATCTAGTGGATAATGCAAAGTGTGTATCTGCTTTAGGATGTTTAGAGTTTATTCTACCCTATTACTGATTCTTGAAGGGGATAGAAATCAATTCAAAAAGTGTTTTAAAAAAGAAAATTCAATATGGAGCATTAAATAATTATTGAGGAGCCACTTTGGACTAGGCATGTCAGAGAGACATGAAAACAAAAATTCAAAACAAGATGGTGACATCTCTGCGAGGGATATATTGCAAGATGGATCCTTATCCTGGTCTGGAGATAGCAGATAAGCCTTTAGGAGAGGTAAGGCCTGTGTAGGAGTGAGTCAGAAGGCTGGACTGAGAGGAGCGGAGGGCTTTGCATCTGGTGACGGCAGTGGAGAGGAGGACACTGGCGGGGCTTGGGCATTGGGAAGTGGACTTGATCCTGGGTTAAGGGGGAAGATAAGGTACAGTTTTAGTCAAGGAAGTTTGTGGGAGGATTCACCCTTCTTCATTGTTTAATCATGTTTTATCTGATTATAAAGGCTATACGTACTAATTGCAGAAAAATGTTAAAGTCCAGAAGGTATTAAGAAGAAAGCAGTCTCCAAATCTTACCACCTACAATCATTGATACTTTGATGAGCAGTCTTTTCGATTCCCCTCTCTGTATGTGTACAGCTTTAGGTATGCATTTCATATGTTTTATGTAAATGGATCACACCATATATGCTTTGGGCAACCTGTGTTTTGCCTTGTTTTTCTCCACTAGATAATATATTTATGGGAATTTCATCCATGTTAGTAGTTCCTGGTGTGGAGTCCATATCAACTGTGTAGATCCACTTACAGGAACAGCCCTCTCAGGTTCACCTATTGGGATGCTGTGTTGCTTTGTTTGGTCTTTCCTAGTAAAATCTTTGTGTATGTAAGAACAGACAAGGTAAGAGAGCCTTTTCTCTCCCCCTGTCAAATGATCTCATGTAGGGACCACACTACTATTTTATAATGAATTTGCTTTTATAGTAGATGGGTTTTGTGGAGAATGTCTATGTCTTGATGATTTGGGGAATTAGGCTCATTAAAATATAGCTAATTAAAAGTAAATGAGATTTATCTTTGCAGAAAGAAGGGGATGAGTCAGATGAATGCCTTGTTTGGTTAAGTATTTGCCTAGTGAAGAAGCCAGAGCCTAGCTGATACTGGATTGTGGCTGTTAGTTCTGTGCCCATAGCTATGTAGACAGTGCCTTTCACCTGAACAAGTTAGAGCTCACTACGTCCCTTCCACAGGTCTGGTAAACACAACCTTCAGCGACTAAATTGTACTCAGATGGGACAGCAGGGTCATCTTTGTGGGTAGACTTGCAGAAGCTGAAGGCACACAGGCACTCTGTTGGAGACACACTGAACAGTCTTCCATTTATTTCAAATCATTTATACAGAATGTGTTAGTTTATTGTCTTCTTTTCTGCCGAATTGTTTAATAATGGTGTCTACCCTAAAGGATTGTTAGGAGAAGCAAATAGGATGGATAGCATTTAGATTCGTGCCTGCTGTATAGTATGTAGTACTCAAGAAAAATTGTGCTTGTGCTACTCCTATTTTTAAAAATAGTTTTTACCCACTTTCCTTTCTAGTGAAGCCCAGGGAGATTAAGCAACTTGCTCAAAATTTCAGCTGGCAAAGGTTAAAAGTTTAGTGGAGCTTATAAAATATATGCCTTTCTTCCCAGTCCAGTGGAACTACCTGAAAGAAAAATATAGGAGTCGGCAAGAAAAAGCCAAGTGGAGAGTCTGGCTTTAGATTTATGGTCCAATCCGAGTGGTGCATGGGCCAGAATATACCCTCTGTGCTGGCTGGCTGATCTGAAAAGAGGAGAGGACAGGGCAGCATACTCTCCCTTCTCCAAATCATGACACAGGTGAGTCACTCCTCTTCCATCTAAAAAGAGTGAGTAAAGGTGGGGACATAGGCCAGGAAGATTGGTCCACCTGAAGTCCATCCACCTGATGCATGGCCGTGGGGAGTAAGCATCCCTTCGCAGCTAAGTGGCAAAGCAGGGAGTAGAACCCCAGCACCTCGACCCACTCTCTGGATTTTTTGCCCATCTTTCCTCTATCTGCCCTGATTCATCAACGCCCCCCCAGAGTCTTTTGCCCAGAATCTCTGCTCTGCCATCTACCCTCTTATAAGCTAAAAAGTGGATATAGATTAACTCAAATGGGGGAGCGAACAATCCTGGATGTTGCTTTCATTACTTGTTTTAACCATGTTTTCATGTGGCTTGGTGATCGATACTCAGAATGAGCTGGTCACCATTGTTCTGCCAGTCTTTCTGACCATTCTTTTTCTTGCTGTATTTGTGGATCTTCTTCTCAGTATCCCTATTCTCAATATCCCTTGCCAATTCAAAACCCCCCATGTCATAAAACACAAGAAACAGTAGCAGCCAACTTCAGAGGAGACAAATGTCAATTGGTGAAAACATTTTTTTTTTTTTTGGCAGATCTTTCTGTATCCAGTATATTTCCTGTTTTTAAAAATCAACATATACAAATACTGTCACAGATACTCTCATGAAGATCAGCTTATTTCTATGAAAAAAAATTCAGACCTAGCTAAGCTAAACATAACATGAACACTGTGAGTCATACAGATCTGTCATCAGTGCTGGTTCTTCCATTTATTAGCCTTGTGACGTTGCATAGGTTTGTTTCCATGTTTACTAGGTGGGGCAGGAGGAGGTAATGTCTAATTCATACAATTGTTATGGAGGGGTGGGAACCACAGAGCACGCGTCAAGCAGTTTGTGCACTACCTGGCACACACGTGGCAGGTGCTAAGCAGCGATCTTGATTGGTAAAATCAAGCATGTACTGCATGTTGAATAGAGATGTAGTACAAAAAGACAAGAATAGGTTGATGTTGATATTGCCCACGTGGAGGCTTTTCCTCAGTTCCCAGGTGTCTTCCTTGCAAATATAGTACTGGAAAACTATAGCTGTGACTCGCCAGGACTCTGTAAATTTGGCAGTTAAGAACTCAAGACTGGTACTTCGACTGGCTGGGCTGGATCCAGGCTTCAACCCACATGTCCCTGAGGAAATTCCTTATCCTCCCTCTGACTTAGTTTTCTCATCCATAGGGCCGGCATGATGGTATCACTGCTTCCTCGGCATTGCTGGGAGGAGTGGATGAGTAGCGCAGGCAGTTCTTTCGGACTTGCGCCTGACTGGGAGTGAGCTCTCAGTGAAAGTTTTGTTGTTGTTTTTAAGTGATATTGATCCTGTTAAATAGAATTTAAGCATAGATTGCGAGTACTTAGAAATAAAGTGGCCAGAGATTGTTGGCCCTTATTTATTGTTGGCAAGAGTTGTTAAACCCTTATTTAACAACTAACAACCCTTAGTTGTTAAGTAAGGGTTGTTACTAGTTTGGTAGCAGAAAATCTGTACTTCAAAATGACTAAAAATGGTAAAAGAAGAAAATACTACATGAGAGTTTTTGTTTGTTCTCTTTTTTTTTGAGACAGCATCCTTGCTCTGTTGTCCAGGCTGTAGTGCAGTGGCACAATCTCGGCTCACTGTAACCTCCACCTTCCAAGTTCAAGCGATTCTCCTGCCTCAGCCTCCCAAGTAGCTGGGATTACAAGCACAAGCCACCATGCCTGGCTAATTTTTTATTTGTATTTTTAGTAGAGATGGGTTTTACCATGTTGGCCAATCTGGTCTCGAACTCCTGACCTCAGGTGGTTCACCTGCCTTGGCCTCCCAGAGTGCTGGGATTACAGGCATGAGCCACCATCCCAGCCCTGAGATTTTTTAAAATAACGTGTTATTATGGAAAATTTCAAATATATACTAAATTAGACTAGCACAAGTAACTCCCCATATAAGCATGTACTGATCTGCAGTCATCAACATCTCAGGACTGATCCTATTTCATCTGTTACCTCCCCTGTCTTATTTTGAAGCAAATCCTGGGCATTGTATACTTTTACTTGTAAGTGGTTCAGTGTTTATCTCTAAAAGATAAGGATTCTAAAAACAAAAACACAGGCCTGGTGCAGTGGCTCATGCACTTTGGGAGGCCGAGGTGGGTGGATCACAAGATCAGGAGTTCGAGACCAGTCTGGCCAATATGCTGAAAGCCTGTCTCTACTGAAAACATAAAGATTAGCCAGCCATGCTGGCACACACCTGTTGTCCCAGCTACTCAAGAGGCTGAGGCAGAAGAATCACTCGAACCTGGGAGGCGGAGGTTGCAGTGAGCCAGGATTGTGCCACTGCACTCCAGCCTGGGCAACAGTGCAAGAGTCTGTCTTAAATAAATAAAATAAATGAAAACATAATCCTAATATATAATGTTATTACACCTAAATGAAATTGATTATAATTCCTTAATATCACTAAGTATTAAATGAGAGATTCTTTAGTGAAAAACAACAATATGCAATGGGCATTAAAATGAGTTTAACATCAAACAAAACTAAAAAACAGCAACATATTTATTAATTTAACAGTACTGAGGGAGCCTATGCTAGTTCAGCATAACGGTTAAGTGTTCTAGTTCCAGCTCGGTTGGTCTTAAGCATTGGTTTCTTTCCACTAAGAATATCTGTTTCCACAGGTTATCAGAGTTAAGTGAAATAACTCATTTACGGTAACTGGTATAGAGGAGACATTAAATAAATATTTCATTTTTCTTTTGTCTGTAGTTCAATTCTTGTTTTAAACTACACTTCATGGTAGAAATACAGAATTCTCTCTTCTTTGTCCACACCCTTCCTGTCTGGTAGAGACATATTTAATACGGCGGTATAATCAAACTATAGCTCACTGATGAAAACTCTTTTCCATGGCAGACCGTCAGTCTGATGGAAGACTGTTCACCTGTGAGGACAGATGATCTTGTGAAGCTGTTAGGTTGCCCAGTCTTAGTAGGTTTTACATGGTGACGCTGTACCTTCTGAACTCACCTCACTAACTTTTCTAAGAGAACCGTTCATTTGCACAAACCACTGGCTTGTCTCTCTTCATTTTTAAAAATTCACTCAGACATCTAGGTGCAGTCTGTCTGGTACATCAGGGTATATCAGATCTTGAAGTCTTTTCTGTCGCATCTCCTTTTTTTCTCCTCCTCCCTCCGCCCCCGCCCCCGCCCCCACAGCCGTTACTCCTTTTCCAACATTTAGGCACTAGTGGGGATACGAAAATGAACAAGACAGAGATGTTAACCTCAAGGAACTGACTTGAATTCTAGTGAATATCACAGTTAAATACTTCTAATGTGGAAAGTACAAACAGTTATCTATAAAACACAGAGGGAGGTGTTAGGGAAGGCTGCATAGAGGAGGGGTCATTTAAGCGGATCCTGAAAGGTGGAATGGGGTTGGGATAAAGGAAGAGAAAGAGCAGTCGCAAAGACACAGAGCAGGGAAAATGGTGTGTTCCTCCTGCTGTCCAGGCGTGCAAGGTGCCTCGCAACAGGGGTTCCGCCTCCAAAGCACTCCCTGGTTTTAGCCCTTGCATCACGTCACCTGCTTGGTCCCACAGAGACTTGACCAGTGATTCCTTTTTTCCCTATGCCCTTTTCCCAGGTCATTCCGTGAGATAAACTGTTAGAAACTGACGCTAGTTTTAGATCCTTAAAATGTACTTTGATTTTACTCTAATTTCCTTATCAAACTTTACACCAGAATGGCCTTACTCTTTTTAAGAGACATTCTCTTTATGTAAATACTCATTCCTACTTTATCAAATTAAGTGACTCTTTCAAAATTAGCAGTATATGTGGAAACATTAAAAATCCAAAACATAGGCCAGGTATGGTGACTAATACCTGAATCCTATTACTTTGGAAGGCCAAGGTGGGAGAATTACTTGAGCCCAGGAGCTTGAGACCAGCCTGGGCAACATAGCAAGACCCCTTATCTACAAAAAAGAAAAATCCAAAGCATACAACTATTTAACCTCTCTAAAAATGTGAAAATGTAACAGGCATATCAGAATTGTATGTACCATAATATGGGATCTCTGCCAGTTTATTTTTAAAAATAGGACTAAGCCTAACAGTAAATAGATGAGAGCTTGCCCAAGAGTCTTTATGAAGTTAACGGTAGTCATGTGATTCTCTACAAAGATAATCATATTCTCTAATGCCGTTTGGAGACTTGGGTATGCCAGTGTAGATAAATCAAAGATCTGTTGAACTTTTTTGTTGTTATTGATTTGTCATGATTTTTTAAAATAAATTAATAGAAAATTCAGAGCTCTCACATTTCTAAAGAAATCTTAAATGTTCTTTTATTTTTTCCACTTTTAGACTTTGAAATATCGTACCTTGTATTCCTGTTAAGTATTGTGCTGAGTTACTATACTGATGTTATTTACTCAGTAATTACTTAGCACACCTCTTATCAAGGGTTCCATTGACTCCGGAACCAGCTGCACTCTATTTTAATAACTTCATTTCATAGAAACTTGCCATTACAGAGCATATGAAATTGATCACATTTGTTAGACTAACTGCAACCTCTTGTGTAGTAATTATGTGCTCGTGGGCCCCTGCGTGGCTTTCTTGCTCCTGGCACTCATCCCCAGGCTCCGTCCCTCACTTGTAGACTAGACTAGCTAAAAGTAGGGGTGTGCAGCTGGATCTAGCCTGTATAGTGGATTCCTTTGGACTTTTCAAAATTTTTTATAGAAAAGTTTATGACTCCTAAAAAGAACCTGTTATGGGTAGTAAGGCTCTTAGAGGGTGTATTAGTCTCTTATTGCTGCTGTAACAATGTGGCTTAAAATAACACAGATTTATTATCTTATAGTTCTATAAATCAGGTGTCTAAAATGGGACTCCCTGAGCTAAAATCAAGGTGTTAGCAGGACTGTGTTCTTTTCTGAAGGCCCATTGCCATGCCCTTTCTAGCTTCTAGAGGCTCCGCACATTCCTTGGCTCCCTTTCCCACTCTTCAAAACCAGCAGTGTTGGAATGAGTCTTTCTTACATTGCGTTATTCTCACCCTCTCTTCTGCCTCCCAATTCCACATATACAGACCCTTGTGATGACATTGGGCCTACCCTGATAATCCAGGATAATCTCTCTACTTTAAGGACAACTGATGAGCAACTTTTTTTTTTTTTTCGAGACAGAGTCTCACTCCATCACCAGGCGCCAGGCTGGAGTGCAGTGGTGCGACCTTGGCTCACTGCAACCTCCTTCTCCCGGGTTCAAGAAATTCTCCTGCCTCAGCCTCCCAAGTAGCTGGGACTACAGGCGCACACCACCATGCCCAACTAATTATTTTGTATTTTTAGTAGAGACCGGGTTTCACTATGTTGGCCAGGATGGTCTCGATCTCTTGACCTCGTGATCCTCCCGCCTCAGCCTCCCAAAGTGCTGGGATCTGATGAGCAACCTTAACTCATCTGCTGCATTAATTCCCTGTTGTCATGTAACATCATATAGTTGCAGGTTCCAGGGGTTAGAAGTTGGACATCTTGCAGGGGAATGGGACTGGGGAAGCTGGGAAACCATTATTCTGCTTACTGTAGCAGGTATAATCCCTCTGGGGTTATTCAGTACCCACTGTTTATTTCATATTTGGTAAAAGTTTTTGAGGGTCCGCTTTTTGCCAGGAACTGTGCCTGACAAGCTCTGGGGAAAGAGAGGGCTCCCTATCCTCTCAGAACTTGCAGTCTCTGAACTAGTCATTGTGATCATGAAGGAACGGGTGCTGAAATAGATGCACATGTAGCGCTTTATGAGGGAAGGGATCTGACTGCGGCCGGAAATGTAGGGTGAGTACGAGGAGGAAAAGAGGATCTTGAATGAGGAGGAAGAATTTGCTGGGCAGGGCATTCCAGGGAAAGGGAGAAGCATATGCCTATGCAAGTGTGGGGAAGGCCTGGGACTTGGAGGCTGGAGTGGTGCAGGGTGTACGGCAGGGGCTTTCAGGGCTGACTTGTGAAGGGCCTTGAATGCTGCATTTGGGAGTTTGGACATTTTCCCATCGTTTAGGCCCTGAGACAATGCATTGGCTGCCCTTTGGCAAATCAGCCTGCAGAGCTGCTTCCTTTGCTGCAGTGTATTTCACAACCAGAATTCACCACTGTCGGATGTGTTCTTCCCACCCATTTGCCTTGCTTTGCTCATTTACACTGTTCACGTGGCCCCTAGAGGCAGCTGACTTTTTAACCCCTGGTAGACAGGGGTAGGGGTAAGGAGATGGAAACCATTGAAGGTTTTAAAACAGAAGAGTAGCTTGGTCAAATCTTGTGTGCGTTGTAATGATCTCCTTGCTTGCATAGCTCTTAATTTTTTCCCAACAGACTTTTAAGTCAGATTTCCTGCTACAGCCCAAGTGGAAAATTGGAACAGGATTGTAAGGAAGGCAGTGGCAGTGCACTGGGAAACACGCTGAATTTGGATTCAGTCCTGAGCTTGAAACCAAGCTCACGTACTATATGTGTTACCTTGGACAAGTCACTTAGCTTTTCTCAAACTGGTTAATGAGAACAATAGTAATCATAGCACAGCAGGGTTGTTGGGAAGAGAAAGAGCCCATGAACGAGAAAGTGCTGATCAGTGTCAGGGATGGTGGACAGTCTCTTAGTCCTGATGTGCTGTGACCTACATGAATATTGTGAGCATACTTAATTCTTTTTCTCTGATTTGTTTGCTTACAATGCCTTAGGGTGTTTTTCTGAACCACATCTATAATAAGAGTCTAGACTATGTGGGAAATGTAACTGAACCCATACTGACCTGTCTCCAGGCAAACCATGGATGTTTCTTTTGTGATGAAAGCCATCTTGTATTTAGGCATCTACTCATGCCACAGTGTTTATTGATCACCTCTGTGCTTCTTGTTGTGCTTAGACCTGTAGGGAAAGCTGGGCAAGCCCTCCTTGCATAGTTCTGCCACTGACAAAGAAGTGTGTATATAAAACTTAGGTCAGAGTACATGACCATGAATAATTGAATGCCAAGAGGGTGGTGTGCAGAAGTCCTTTTCAATTCAGAGCAAAGGGAACATTAGCCTGGGTTGGCCTTGACAGAAAAACTTCCATGAAAGAGATGAAAGTTCAGCAGACCTTGCAAGGCTGGGGCCACATGTGTTTGGAATGAGTGCAAAGTGTGTAAGAAGCTGGAGTAAGCGGTGGTCGGAAGACCAGCAGGCCAGCTGATCACTCTTCCTCTGGAAACACCTTTGTCCCCATTGACTGTGATCTAAGCTTTCTTCCCACCACTTTTTATTTATTTGTGAAGTGCTGCTTCCATGCACAGTATCTGACATGTGGTAGGTGATTTAGAATAGGTTTTTATTATACTAGAAACGGCCATCACAAACACAATGCTTTGTACCTGTACCTTTGAGTTCTTTTTGTTCATCCATGGAAATAGCCCATAGGAAAGATGGAAATTTGCTGTTTAGGGATAAATCATTACCCCTGAATCTTACCTTTAACTCTGCTGCTCTGCATGGGCCCTGTTTATAAACCCAACAGCTTCAGCTTTAGAGTTTCTTAGAACACTTGGAAGAAGGAATACTTGTCTGTACAATTTTAGCTGTAAGAAAAGGAAAGGAATTCACCTTTATTGAACACATGCTATGTAATTCCTAGATATACATTATCTCATTTCATCTTTAAGTCACTTAGAAATCACCTACTCATAGTGTCACAGGTCCTGACAATTAGAGGTAGAAGGAGCCTCAATGGGAGACTGTGGCCCAGGAATGTTAATGAACGTGTGATTGTATGAGAGCCTAAAACCGGCGGTGCTCAGTTCGTAGCTTCAGAATCTTTCTGTGGTTTGCATTTTATTCTCTATTAATTTAAAATTCATTACATGGGTGTGACAAATCTATATAAGCTGTTTACTTTCTTTTTTAATTTTAGATTTCTCACATTGGCAAACTGAGAGATTTTCTTCTGGAACACAGGAAAGATTATATTAATGCTTATAGGTAAGTGGATATGTTTTTACCAGAATTTTGATGACTATGTTCTTTTCTGTGCCTGTATTTCTTTTGCACTTTTTGCCCTCACCTTTTTCTTAATAACTCAGAGTTGTAATGAGGAAGGCCAGTTTAAAGTCATGAAATCACAACAGCAGTACCTTCCAGTCTATTTGTATCTCTATATGTACCACTATCTCCTGTCAAATATAACTCACTCCATGAATACTTAGCTGTATTTAAAGTTGGGGACACATGCATTTGTATGCCCTGAACCTGTGAAGGAACAAAGTTTTCAAGCCTCTGCTAAGCTATTTTTGCCCATCTCTTGCTGTCCCAGTCTGTGGCACTGGTTTTGCTGTTTTGGTGACTTTCTTATGAGCACATTTCAGTCCTTACCCTCGTGTCGCTGGGTCGTGCCTCCCTCACCAGTTCCCAGTGCTCAGTCCTGATGGCCATTTTCTTCTCTTGTCCTTCTCTAGAGCTTTTGACACCTGCTAGAGGCAGCTGCACACCCATTTGGCATAGCCTTCCTTTCTTAGGGCACTTTTGATAATCCTTCTATTCATCCCCTAATGTAACTCATTCCTCCTGGTGGCTGACATTCCTCCTGCTGGCTAGGTCCAGTTTCTACTCAGTAGCCTGAGTCTTTTTTAAACATGAATTGGATTACATCACCACCTGAGTAAACCCACCATGAATACTGCATTGTTTAGCATTAACACCAGCCTCTACACCGCGGTCTCACCCCTCCTGATCTGGCCTGTGGCCTCATCCAGAACGCTGCCTTCCCACCACTGTGCTCCAGCCATGCCAGCCTTCCTTGAAGGTGCCATGCTCTTTCCTGGCGCAGAGCCCAGGTGTGTGTTGTTCTTCCCCTTCCCATGGTGGTTTCCTTTTCAAACTTAAAGTCTCAACTTAATACTCCCTCTTCCGAGAGGCCTTCTCTCACTCCCCTTTGTAAAATAGATCTCTTCTGTTAGTTTCTCCGCCCTGTGTATTTTCTTCAGTACACTAAACACAATTTGTAATTATTTAATAATTGCAGCTTATTATCTGTCTTTGTCACCAGGCTGTACGTGTCATGAGGTCAAGAACCTTGTTCAGGTTTTCATCTTGTTTCCATAGTTCCTCACCCATGTTTGGCACTCAGTAAATACTTGTCAAATGAATGATTTTCTCCTAGTCCTGAGGTCCACGACTAGCCCAGCAGTTCTCAACTGTGGTGATTTTGCACCCCAGGGGACATTTGGCAATGTCTGGAGATATTTTTGTTTGTCCCAACTAGGTAGAGGAGTGCTGCTGGCCTTTAGTGGGTAGAGGCCGGGGATGTGCAAAACTCGGGAGGGCTCTCCACAGCAGGGACTTACCCGGCCCAGAACTTAGCAGGTGCTGACATTGAGATTCCCTGCTCCACCCTGACCCCTCACTCCAGATTAAACTTCCTGATTCGTCAAAGGTTTATTGAATTCTAGATGCTTAGGGCACATCAGGGAATAAAAAACAAATATTCTTGCCCTTAGGGCATTTGCATTGTAGTGGGCTGGCGAAGACAAGCACTATGTGTATAGTCCATTAGGTCATAGGAAAGGAAAGGAAGAATAGAACAAGGTAACAGGGATTGGGAGTGCTGGGAAAGCTCATGATTCTCACACAGAGTAGTCAGGACAGGCCCCACTGAGGTGGTATCAGAGCTACTCTGGGAAGTTGTGACCTTTGATTGGACCTCATCTCCTTCTTTCCACCTGTTAGAGAGAAACCCGTCTCTGTTTTTAAGGGTACTGTCCTACTAGTGTATACGTGTATAAGCTAAAGGGAAGGAAAGAGCCAGGTGACTAAAAATAGCTGGGAATCAAGAATACAGCAGTACCTGAGAAGCGGTGTGAGTGTATCCTTTATCTCATTGCTCACATTGCTTCTCAGGTCCTGCTGTATTCATGATTCCCAGCTATTTTCGGTCATCTGGCTCTTTTCTTCCTTTAGTTTATACATTTGACCTTGCTTGATCCTTAAGCCACAGGCACTGTCACTTCATTTCACATCAGTGCCAAACGTGGGGAGAAAGTCTCATCAGGGATCAGCCAACTTTCTGTAAGAGTCAGACAGTAAATAGTTTAGGCTCTGTGGGCCACATATGGTTTCTGCCGCATATTTTTTGTTTTTGTTTTTTACAACCTTTAAAAACTTGTAACGATTCTTAGTTCTCAGACCACAGGGAGCCATGCCTGCAGGCTAGACTTGGCCTATAGACTGCAGTTGACGCAACCTCTGTTTCCTCACCTTTCACTCCATGCCAACCATATGGCTCGGTTTTTATCACCTTTCTGAAATTTTTCTCCTAATGCTCATCTGTAACTTCCTAATCACCAGATCCAGTGGCTTTTCCTCAAAGGGAATATGAATAGACTCACATGGCACCTACTCTGGTGTGTCTACCTCTTTTGCTCCACGTTTTTGAGATTCTTGCATGTTGTGTCTGCTAGTAGTTTGTTCCTTTTTGTTGCTTTATTATTTGCAATATTCCATTGTATGAAGTTACCCCAGTTTGCTTATCCATTTATGTACTATTAGAGAATCCTGGGCTGTTTCCACTTTGGGATTATTAGAAATAGAGCCTTTGCGAGTAGCGTCTTTTGCAAGTCTCTTTGTGGACATACTCATTTATTTCCTTTGAATAAATACCTAGGGGTGAAATTAGTGGGTCATACCAATGGTAGTTGCATGCTTAGCATTAAAATAAACTACCAAGCAATTTTCCAAAGTGGGTTTTCACTCCCGGTAGCAATGCGTGAGAGTTATAATTGCTCCCTATCCTTGCCAACATGGTAAATAGGCTTTTCAATTTTGACTGTGATAACATAGCCAAGCACAGGCTCAGCTGCTCACCACTTGCAAAGCCGGTAACAAGGACGAAAGGAAGGTGACTTTATTTCCAAAGCTAACGGGGGAAAGCAGGAGTGGTGCTGAGTACTAGGTCTGTGTGTCTCGTTCTGGTAGCTATCAGTGCAGGCTGGTGTCATGTCAGCAATGGCCGGGTTGTAGACTGACCACCTTGAGGTAATCGCTGAAGTTTTGCAGTTAGGTCTCCATGCTCAGTCTGTCTCAAGTTAGCCCTGAAACTTCCAGGTAAGCACATAATTAAACACATACAGTTAGGTAAATGTACATGGTGTAAGGGAATGTATGGTGAGAAAGGGAGGAGACATGGTGTTTCAAAGAAAGTACGTTTCAAGGCTGTATTCTAAGACTAAGGAGGAAAAAGCGTTTCTGCATAAGCCTTCAGTTACATCTGGAGACTAGGGAGAAAAGGGAAAAAAAGTTTTGAAGTGCACTTTCAGGCTAGCCTGTCCAATTCCATGATAAACGTGAAACGGCAAGTCACTGTATTTGAAGCCTGTCCTTCTCCAATGAGGACTGTGTTGAGCACCTGGATGGTTTTTTCCTCAGCTCCACCACTTTGCCACAGCCTTCGATCCTGTTGACCATCATCGGTTTCTTGAAATTTCCTATTCCCTTGACTTCCATTACAGTATTCTTGGTTCTTCTCACCACTCTTTTTTGTCTCTGTCCTTCATCTACCCCGTAAGAACTCCAGGGCTCTGTTTCAGGCCCTTTTCTGGTATTTGTCTCTACTTAGGAAAAACAAGTTCTGTCTACCTACCTGGCTACCCACCCACCCACTCCCCATGCCCACCTTATCCTTCCATCCTGAATGTTTATTTTGTATTAGGTACTCTGATAAGCACCAGTTAGTAATATTATCTCCCTTGGTCCTCACCTCAGCCCTATGAGGGTGGCGCTGCTGTTAAGCCGTGTGGCAGGCAAGCAATGAAAGAGTAGCAATGACATAATCTGAAGATCACAGCTGGTGAGCCTCTGAGCCCGGGCTGGGCTGGGCATGGAATCCTTGCCCTTCCCACCACACATTCTTACCACCTACTGTGACTTCCTCTCTCACCAGCATGCCGATAGTGAAACCACCTTTGCAAACGTTGTAACGGTGAGAAAATTACGAGGGTGAACGAGATCCAACCTAATCAACTCCATCTTGCCTTTAACCTCCCAGATGCCCTTGATCATTACTGGTCTTAGGCCAAACTAACTTTGAGAGGAAGTTAATTTATAGTTTAACTTTGAAACAAGCGTGGTAACAGCCCCTCCTGGAAACAGACCCCCTTTTTGCTTGGGGACAAAGCCACCTTTGTAACACCAACAAGTTAGCCATGAGATTAGAAGTTATGGCTCATGAGTCATGTACCCAGAGGCCGGAAGACCACTAACCTCCCCAGTTACTCATATAGATAACATTATTGCTATAAAACCTAAGATTGATGTTTGAAGTATTTTCAGATCCCACATTCTGATGGATCAGCTGGCACCATGCAGACCAGGACACCGGCTCATTTAGTCTTATGGCCCCACCCAGAAACTGACTGTGCAGGAGGACAGCTTTGACTCCCTAGGATTTCGTCCCCAGCCCATCCAATCAGCATTCCCCATTCCCTAGCCCCTGCCCACCAAACTACCACTAAAATACCCAGCCTCCTAATGTTTAGGGAGGCTGATTTAAGTCATAATAAAACTCCAGTCTCCGTTTTAGACAGCTCTATGCATATTTAACTCTTTTTCTATTGCAGTTCCCCATCTTAGCAAATCAGCTCTATCTGGGTAGTGGGCAAGATGAACCCATCAGGCAATTACAGTTGTTCCTAAATGCATGTCATGAGCACAGGCTTCTCTCAGTCCCCACTGCCACTGTCCCGCTCGCCCAGCACCTGTGAGCAGCACTGTCTCCCTGCATGCTGCCTGCTCCTCCCATCCCTTCTAGAGTGCTTCAGTGCAGTGTTTGTCACTTGCCTGGTCGTTATTCTCAACTCCCCGCTTTGTCCCTTCTTCTCCTGGTCTGTCTGGAAGGCACAGGTATAGTCCTCATCATCACAGATGGAATCACCTGCTTCCCTCTTCAGATCCCTTCCTTGCCTGGAGGATATAGCCCATCCATACTTCTT